AAGGAGCGGCAGTCTCTCCAGGGCCACTGGCATGGATTGCACCAGACAGCTCCAGCTGGTAGCACCGTACTAAAGGCTCCTCGAGTTTTCCCAAGAGACTGGGACTCTGCCCACCGGCTCCAGCAGCAGTTAACCTGCCCTCCAACGACACCTACATGTGGACGATGCAATACAGGAAGGGGCAAGCCCCGATCGGTTCTCCTGACCAAAATTTGAAAGGTAGTGGATCGATTACATTTCAGAACCACATTCTACATCAATAACATTTTACTACGTATTTTATTACATCAATGGCTTGAAAAAGTTTTATTTGATGTCAGCAAACATTGGAAATCATAGAAAAATGAATTATGTAGAATTTCACAAAGGAATTTACCCCACTATAATTCCTCATACAGTAAAATAATTCAAAACCAAATGTTACTTTTCAGTGGCTAAGCAATTTTATAATGCTATGAACATTCATCACAGTAAGTGTGCTGAATAATAGAAAACAGGCAAAAAAGACATTTAAAATATTACTTACAACAGCATTATTACAACATACTTTCTTTAAAATCCCAACGAGTATTTTATCACTTCAAAAGCTATACAGCATTTCCATTATATTTGCAAACTTAACCTTATACATCTTTTAAAATCTTGAAAAAACTTCTTTTAAGCAATCTATAAGCAGTTAACAAAATTGATAAAATCTACGCAATGGAATACTATACACTCCAGTATAAATTTTATTTTAAGAGAATATGAATGTAAACACTCATTATTATACAACATGCATAGACTATACTGACCTTCCATCTTCTGAACTGTAACTTTCACTGCAATTGTGCTTTACTATCAACAGGAAAAGCTGCATTAATCCAGGGAGTGGCAGAAAGTATTTGCTTTAGGGGCATTGCACAAGATCACTAGACTTTGACTTGCTGAAGACAAGCTGGAGCTAATAAAAATCATTTTTCTGGTTTGTTTTTTTTTTTTTTTAAAGAGTAAATAATAGGCCACTCATCACTGAATGGGCTATGCATAATTTTATGCAGATTTGAAAAAACGCATTATCAGAAAAATCTCCTATGATATTTTTGCGCTTCATTGACTTGGAGATTTACGTTCACAAATCCAGTGATCAAGTTAGTGTAATGCACTGTTTGGCTCATATTTGGTGTGCAAGAATACCAACAGCATATTAGCGATTTAGAGAATAAAAACTGAAATTTAAAGTGACAATGAGCATATTTTAATACATAATGTTTCAGATGCATTGGTACAGGAAAGAAAAATGTTTGTCAGGACATTGCTTTAAGAGAGTAAGAGTTTCACTCTTATATTAACTATTAAAAAAGTGTTCTAGTGGATATTTATGGGGTCTTCCTGGTTGCAAACTTGTAAAAATATATTAAGAATTCATTATCCCCATTGGTATTAAATATATCAAGACACAACCATTGTGGTTGCACTACCAGTTATGGCTACTATGGTCTTAAGCATCTGATTGTACATTGTTGCTATATTGTTAAGCACAACTGAGGCATGTATTTTTTTTTTCCCTTGGTTATAAGATTATATTACAAAAATTGATCACTGTTTCAAACCAGTTAAACACGAATATTCAAGTAACAAGGTTGTTTTAATGGATAAGCGAAAAGAGAAGTTACCTAGCACTTTACACAACTACATAAAAATTAAATAGAACAAATGAAATTTGTTTATGCATATGCAATACACTTTTATATCTTTAAGATTTCTAAAACTAAAACTGAAACTATCATTTTCTTTAACGATACCATATTTTGCACAATAACTTATACTTAGGAGAAATAATTTCCCATTTTCCACAAAATATATATAATTATGACATTCACATTGATAGTTTAAGAAACAAAATTTAAGTGACTATTCTATCTTATGCAGTTATCTTTGTGGACCCTTCTAATCAGAATGCAACCAGTTGATGTATCTAATGCTTGACCCATTTAAAAAAGAAAGAGAGGGTCTTCACCTAAACAAGACCAAACCATTTAAACTTTCAAAAGCTAAAATGATTTTATCGCATTTAAAAACATAGTTAAAGAGAATGTAAAAAACTAAACGTTTAAAATACAGTGCTATTATATTGTATGTATCAACTACAATAAGATAGCAGTCAACTGAAAAGTAATTAAACAACTTTTTTCTTCCTAATATCATGAATTATACATGTTTCCCCCTACCCCTTGGGGATGAAGCCAAAACACAACTTTTCTGATCATAAGGATGGACAGATTTGAGGGCAAAAACCGATGAGAAGTCTTCACAGGTAACTTAACTCGCCAGCAGAAGCCTCTCCTGATGAGTTTCACCAACTGGGATGCAAGCTCATACAACCCTCACACTGGCGAGGACCCATCTCCATGCACTGCTACCAGCAGGAGGTTTAATACTAGAGTATTTCTAACGAGCGGCATTGCTTTACACCAGAACTGTCAGCTGAATTCACAGTGCTATTTGCCCATCTTTAATCCTAATTCACACTGGCTAACAACTAGTGTCTTTTCCCACAAGAGACTCCCAACTCCAACTGGCACAGGACTGAAGGAACATCTGCAGGGCCACCATCAGAGCTGCCAGTTCATATCAACAGCTGTAGAGACACTGCCACAAACTTGGGATTACACGTTTCCAATACAGAGGATAGAGAATAGCTCCTTTCCATCCTCCCATCACCTCAGCGGATTTCTCTGGAGGTACCAGAATGAAACTGCTCAGAACCAGCTGCAAAGTAGCCGAAACAGGCCCTTTTTGGGCTCCACACTCTAGCTTGCCCTAAGAAATGCCTATTTGCTCCTTCGCCTGTGTGGTGTTGCTCGATTTCTGATGTTGAATTACTTTCCTCACACACGGCCCAAAGAGGAGACCACCTCAGCAATACATGAGCCTACCTCCCTGCCTTTCCTTGGGTTGTGTTTACACTGCAGGAGGTGCAGTCACAGCTGGCTCTGTTAGCCAGCTGGCATTAGCCTACCTCGTTTAGGTACAGAGAACAGAGCCATCACAGCACACAACACGGCACAGCCCAGCAGCTCAAACATCAGCACCAAGTTCAGGGCTAGACTCTGAGCTGCAGCACCTCAGCTGCAGGCCAGAACATGGACTAGCTCATTTCAGGTTGTGTTAAGGGAGGCTGGTGCCGTACATTGCTGTGTGCCATCTTGGCTTGAACCCTCTGTAGAGGAAGAGAAGCAAAGAAGGTCCTTTTTTCCACTTGCAAAGACAGCTGGTGGTTTCTTCCAACATCATTAAATTAACCATTTTTAAATGCTTTGTGACTAGTGTTATTTTGCAGCTTTCCACTGGACAAGAAGTAATACTGCTGCTTCTAGCTTCTCTGAAGACTGTCTGCTTGGCAGTCAGCAACTACCTTGTTCAAGGTGCAAAGTCCTCATACAGGACTTTCAAGAACAGCTCCAGTTCAAGCCAGCTGGATAGGCCACAGCACAGGTCATCCGAACAGAGGGCTGGGGATTTGAAAGCTGCATGCACCAAGTATTTGGAAAAGCACCTCTTAGATTTTAAATTGCATATTTTGGTTCAGAACATGAAAGCGATGTGTGCTTCAGAAGGGTTAAAATGGCCAATGAAATTAACCCAGTCCTTCTCCATTAAACTTCTGAGAGACTAAAAACTACCTGAAGGTTCAACTTTGTGCTCCAACCCTCGTCCAGACTTCCAGTGGGAGTAGTTTGATGTCTTTGGCAAACAGCGCTCTGAAGAGAAATGAGACACTGGGACAGAAAGTGACCTATGGTAGCCAAATGTAAAAGGCACATATTCCAAAAGGAGAGGCACCAGAGAAAGTTGTTTTGACTTAATCCCGCAGAGGATCAGGAAAAAGAAAGTTGTGTAGCACGCATTTAACAAGTTACAATGCAAATGCTGAATGCCAGGGGTTAAATAGCGTATCAAACAGTTTCAGGTTACGTATTCCCTTTTGCACTAAATAAAAGCCATTAAAATATACAGGAATAAAATGCTCAATTAGGGAGCTTTCTATGAAGCAAGAACACACAAATACAGTGGAAAGAATTGCACAAACCAGAAGTGTAATGAGTTACATTTACAACCTTGGACTGACCAAACCTTAGAAATAACATTTCCTATCACTTTGCATTATTCAAGATTACTTGTTAACATGCCCTGTCATTTCAGAACAAACCTGACACCACTGGCACGTGCACAGGCCTCTCCTTTATAGAAAGCTCGCTAATAATAGTGTCATCGTAAGAATACACAGGAAGCGGAGACCACAAGGCCATGCAGCAATATGTACTTATACCCTACGGACCAAGTATTATAAGAACTCCTAATGTGTAGAGTTACTGTGGGGCTGCTAAGGAGCTCCTTGTTTTGCAGGTTGGTCAAAATTTACAGACAGGTGTTACTGGTTCTAGAAATCCCCATGCTTAAGCAGGACATTGATGAAATGGAGAGCTGAGCTACCTGGGTGCTTTTGAAAGAAAGTGGAGGCAGTATGGAGGAATGAGGGGAGATTAAGGCAGATGTAGCACAGGACTGGAAGCGTTTGCCTTTTTTTGGTAATAGCTGCTTGTCCACAGATATGATGCAGATGGCTGTCTGAGGTTTGCTAATACCTGATATCCTGGATAACACAGTAGTCAACACAAATTGTTCTAGGCTACAGCACCTTCTCACGAAGCAGATGCATATCTGACATCAAGAACAGAAGTAGCCTGGAGGGAAGGGGGAGGGGGGAGAAAAAGGAGACGTTTAGTTTAAAAATGAATACACATAGGCTTTCTTGCATCTCCAAACTTCACCCCAGATCCACGGTACTGAAAGCGACAAAACAGACAGCCCTGGCACATGGGAGGAATCACAGCAGCTTCCCGTATTCTGAGCCACACTGGGATTTGTTGGGAGTGTAAACATACAAGAATTAAGCCTGGAGTTGAGGCTGCTTTATAATCAGCAGTCTTACCTCCCTTCTTCAAAAAAATACTAGAGTATTTCTAACGAGCGGCATTGCTTTACACCAGAACTGTCAGCTGAATTCACAGTGCTATTTGCCCATCTTTAATCCTAATTCACACTGGCTAACAACTAGTGTCTTTTCCCACAAGAGACTCCCAACTCCAACTGGCACAGGACTGAAGGAACATCTGCAGGGCCACCATCAGAGCTGCCAGTTCATATCAACAGCTGTAGAGACACTGCCACAAACTTGGGATTACACGTTTCCAATACAGAGGATAGAGAATAGCTCCTTTCCATCCTCCCATCACCTCAGCGGATTTCTCTGGAGGTACCAGAATGAAACTGCTCAGAACCAGCTGCAAAGTAGCCGAAACAGGCCCTTTTTGGGCTCCACACTCTAGCTTGCCCTAAGAAATGCCTATTTGCTCCTTCGCCTGTGTGGTGTTGCTCGATTTCTGATGTTGAATTACTTTCCTCACACACGGCCCAAAGAGGAGACCACCTCAGCAATACATGAGCCTACCTCCCTGCCTTTCCTTGGGTTGTGTTTACACTGCAGGAGGTGCAGTCACAGCTGGCTCTGTTAGCCAGCTGGCATTAGCCTACCTCGTTTAGGTACAGAGAACAGAGCCATCACAGCACACAACACGGCACAGCCCAGCAGCTCAAACATCAGCACCAAGTTCAGGGCTAGACTCTGAGCTGCAGCACCTCAGCTGCAGGCCAGAACATGGACTAGCTCATTTCAGGTTGTGTTAAGGGAGGCTGGTGCCGTACATTGCTGTGTGCCATCTTGGCTTGAACCCTCTGTAGAGGAAGAGAAGCAAAGAAGGTCCTTTTTTCCACTTGCAAAGACAGCTGGTGGTTTCTTCCAACATCATTAAATTAACCATTTTTAAATGCTTTGTGACTAGTGTTATTTTGCAGCTTTCCACTGGACAAGAAGTAATACTGCTGCTTCTAGCTTCTCTGAAGACTGTCTGCTTGGCAGTCAGCAACTACCTTGTTCAAGGTGCAAAGTCCTCATACAGGACTTTCAAGAACAGCTCCAGTTCAAGCCAGCTGGATAGGCCACAGCACAGGTCATCCGAACAGAGGGCTGGGGATTTGAAAGCTGCATGCACCAAGTATTTGGAAAAGCACCTCTTAGATTTTAAATTGCATATTTTGGTTCAGAACATGAAAGCGATGTGTGCTTCAGAAGGGTTAAAATGGCCAATGAAATTAACCCAGTCCTTCTCCATTAAACTTCTGAGAGACTAAAAACTACCTGAAGGTTCAACTTTGTGCTCCAACCCTCGTCCAGACTTCCAGTGGGAGTAGTTTGATGTCTTTGGCAAACAGCGCTCTGAAGAGAAATGAGACACTGGGACAGAAAGTGACCTATGGTAGCCAAATGTAAAAGGCACATATTCCAAAAGGAGAGGCACCAGAGAAAGTTGTTTTGACTTAATCCCGCAGAGGATCAGGAAAAAGAAAGTTGTGTAGCACGCATTTAACAAGTTACAATGCAAATGCTGAATGCCAGGGGTTAAATAGCGTATCAAACAGTTTCAGGTTACGTATTCCCTTTTGCACTAAATAAAAGCCATTAAAATATACAGGAATAAAATGCTCAATTAGGGAGCTTTCTATGAAGCAAGAACACACAAATACAGTGGAAAGAATTGCACAAACCAGAAGTGTAATGAGTTACATTTACAACCTTGGACTGACCAAACCTTAGAAATAACATTTCCTATCACTTTGCATTATTCAAGATTACTTGTTAACATGCCCTGTCATTTCAGAACAAACCTGACACCACTGGCACGTGCACAGGCCTCTCCTTTATAGAAAGCTCGCTAATAATAGTGTCATCGTAAGAATACACAGGAAGCGGAGACCACAAGGCCATGCAGCAATATGTACTTATACCCTACGGACCAAGTATTATAAGAACTCCTAATGTGTAGAGTTACTGTGGGGCTGCTAAGGAGCTCCTTGTTTTGCAGGTTGGTCAAAATTTACAGACAGGTGTTACTGGTTCTAGAAATCCCCATGCTTAAGCAGGACATTGATGAAATGGAGAGCTGAGCTACCTGGGTGCTTTTGAAAGAAAGTGGAGGCAGTATGGAGGAATGAGGGGAGATTAAGGCAGATGTAGCACAGGACTGGAAGCGTTTGCCTTTTTTTGGTAATAGCTGCTTGTCCACAGATATGATGCAGATGGCTGTCTGAGGTTTGCTAATACCTGATATCCTGGATAACACAGTAGTCAACACAAATTGTTCTAGGCTACAGCACCTTCTCACGAAGCAGATGCATATCTGACATCAAGAACAGAAGTAGCCTGGAGGGAAGGGGGAGGGGGGAGAAAAAGGAGACGTTTAGTTTAAAAATGAATACACATAGGCTTTCTTGCATCTCCAAACTTCACCCCAGATCCACGGTACTGAAAGCGACAAAACAGACAGCCCTGGCACATGGGAGGAATCACAGCAGCTTCCCGTATTCTGAGCCACACTGGGATTTGTTGGGAGTGTAAACATACAAGAATTAAGCCTGGAGTTGAGGCTGCTTTATAATCAGCAGTCTTACCTCCCTTCTTCAAAAAAAAACCAAAACAAAACAAAATGAAAAAAAACCCCAACAACAACAAAAAAAAAAAAACGGAACCACGGCCACTTGCTATAAAAACACACTGAAGGGGAAAGCCCAGAGCAGTCAGAGGGCTGACGAAGCTTTTACTAGGCTGGCAGCCAGGCAGACAAGGCATGCCAGGGAAGAAAGCACCCGAGGGACTTCAGTGTTAGGCCAGCAAAGTCTTCTCCTGGCTACTGCTGACTGAGTGCCCCTGACTTGACCAGTCGCCTGTGCAAGTGCTCTCAAGAGCAGGCACCAGCTGCATGGTACTGCGCAGCTCAGGAGGGACCAGGAACCCCCCTCCCAGCCCATGTAGATCAGTTATGTGATAATCCCAATGACACTTCACTTTGCCCCCAGAACTGCTCAGACAGGCACCCAGTCAGCACTGTGGTTACGTTACCTCTGAAGGCAGCAGCATCTCATTTATAGCCAGCCTGAGAGGCACTGTCTGATGTGCTCAGAGTGCATGGTGGCCATTAGATGTCCATGGTGTGACACCCTTGTGTCCCTTCCTTGTGCATTTTTATAAAAAGCTGCAGGCTTGGTAGTTAAAATCCCCTCCATGCTGCCAGCACCTTCCTCCTCCCAGCTGTGACACATCAGTTCCTACTGTCCAGAATAGGCTTCATCAAGAACCACAAGCCACATGGTGCTAGTGTAAGGCACACATGGTATGTCACGGCTGGCAGGTCACGGCCACCCTGCCTGGCTCCTGCCTGTGTCAGCCTGGTGCAGGCAGGCTCTGCCCTCATCCCTTACTATACTGCAGGGCACAGGGAACTGCCCGACTCTCGCAATAACTGCCTTTTCTCTAGGCTTTGCAACTATTCCCACCAGCCTATTGTTTTGGTCCCCTTTCCACCACTCAACACTTGCTCGGCTCCAGCCTGGGCACTCTCCATCACTAGTTTGGGGATCACGACTGCTGCTCCACCAGTCATTTCACCAGACCTTGCTGTCATGCCTCCACTCTTCCTCCTCCTCCTCTGCTAACTTGTCTGGGATCCTCACTGCTCCAGCATCCATACGCTTGGACACATCAGCACACTCCAGTTCCTGCTGCAACCATTCTCTTCCTATCTCAAGTGAGACTCCCCTTTTTTGACTGTAACTTTCAGGAGCAAGGGTGTATTTGAGGCCAGGAAGAATCTCAGAGGGCTCAGAGAAGAAAAGTTCTGCACTGCTAACAGATACAACTCTACTGGTCACAGGGAAAGGCAGTGACACAAGCCACCTGTCTTTCAAATGGGTGGCTACGTGCTAGTACCATTGCTTCTTTGCTCCACCTCTCAATTCTGGAAGAATGGGACAATTTCACTCACACTCTTCCAAGAAGGCAAGTTTTTTTGAGTTTGGTTTTGTTCATCTGTCATACCTTTGGATCTAGTCCCCATATATAAGCATCTTTGAATAACATGTTATTGGGATTTGTGAAGCAATGAAGTTCTGCTCTCTGAATGTCTGAACGGCAACGTACAAGTGAGTCAACCATAATCAGGGCAACAAAAATATACAGTCACTGAGAAGTCTTTAGTCCATGTGAGACCAAAATTCACCTTATGCTGTTGACTGTGCTTGCATTTAGAAGATACGGCTTTTGTGTCAAGCTGTCTTATAAAATTAGGCCAAAGGGAGTCCTAGACCAGACATTTTTAACATGCAAACCTCTAGCAGGGTTTTCTTTTGCAAGACTGTGTTAATATTACATTTTTGTAACTAACTTGCACATTTAAACACTCTACAGTCTCTTAGTTAACTTTAAACACACATTGTATTTGGAGAAGTGTTAACTCCATGAAGCTCCATCAAGGAGAGGCTGTTCCTAGAATTTCTGTCTTCACAGAAACTTTGCCTCTAGGTAATTCCAGAGTGAACAGTTTCACACACTCGCCTTGTTTATAGCTTTCTTCCCTTCCCCTGAGTGAAACCACTCCATCGTCAAAAATGAAAGAGCGAGCTTTGCCTCAGAAGACTGTACGGTCCCACAAAGCCAAACCTAGAACAGCTTGGAGAACTGAGTGCAGGGAAAACATCCAAGTGAGATAAAGATGTATGGGGTTTCAGCAGCAAGAGGCATTAAAATGTCCATGTGCTGAGGAGATACAGATACTGTCAGAGGGCTGCAAATTAACTGTTCTCTTTCCACTTTCATGTATGTCTGGAATTCCTAATTCCCAAAATCAGTACTGGAATCTGTATATCCAGAGGAAGTAAAATATGCTCAGTTTGAAGATTGTCAAAAATGGCTTTTGCAAAAAGTATATATATACACATCTATCTGATCTGAGCTCAGATTGGGAATTTTATGCGATTTTTAAATTGGATTTACCTCGTCTTCCTCTTCGGACATTTTAGTGGAATTATCAGGGGATTTTACAGGCTTCTGGCTATTGGTTCCATTTGTCTCCTCTTTGCCGTGCTCTGCCTCCCACTCCTGTAGAACTTCATCTATGTTGAAACGACGTCGATAATTTACAAAAAAGTTTTTCACTTGCACCACAGATTTGTTTCCAATCACATCAGAGATTGCCTGAAAGTCTCGGCCGTATTTCCTGATTGCTAAAAGCAACAAAAAGAAAAACAAAAGCAACATGTTATTTCCACAAAGACCACAAATCAGGCTCAAGTCACAGCATAAGGATCTGAAGCTGAACTTCTGTCAAGGTTTCAGGCCTTTCTCAGATTAATCCAGGGGAAAAGAAAAAAGTCTAAACTGGGCAAGAGATGCAGTTAAGACTAGCCCTGAAGAAGAGAAGAAAATAGAAGTGTCATAAAGATGGGCAGAGCCAAATCTAGAAGACCTGTGTAAATCTGCCTGTACTACTTGAGAAGCTACACAGGCAAAGAGCATAGCAGTGACTCCGGTAGAGTTTCACTTTCTGAAAGCTTGGACAAGCAGAGATTATTTGCAAACATTCATACAGTGCAATTTATACTGCCCAGGGAGGGGAAGGGGGGATATTGTTTCCTTGTTCAATTCCGTTCTTTGGGCATTAGTACACAGCAATGTCAGAATCCTTCATTAGCCACTGAAGGGAAACACAGCTCTGAAACGCAGCAGAGTTTTGATTATCACCGACTGAAGTACAAATAGACTTGTAGTGCCATACCTTGCACAGCAAGAAGCTGCTCATCCGTGGTCCAACGTGCATTAAATTTCTGAACGACCTAGACATCAAAAAAAAATTAGATAACTTCATTTACATAAGCAACAGCTTTCCCTTGTATCCGAGCTCATGAAAACCTCATAAAAACACAACAAGGAATTAACTGTTTGTCAAACTATATCATTCCTTTAGTAGCAACGTTTTCAACAAAGAACTGCGTATGGCATCCATTCAGTTAACTGTGATATACACTGTGCCTGTAAGTCACAGTAATACAAAAAGATAGGGAATGGTCTGAGCAGATAACCAAGAGCCACTCTCTTCCAAAGCACCTACTTGGTTTTATCACAGACACCCTCTGTAATCTTGGTCAAATTATTTCCAGCATGAGGTACCAGAGTTGGAAGGAAAACAGCAAAAGCACCAAGTGCCAAGAGAAAGATGGGCCATTAACATCCTCTCCTACATTTCTCAGTATTTAGAGGAAAGCAACTACCTCTCTCGCAATGGCATATGGATACAACATTGACAAAACATGGTATATCTGGGATACCTGTACTTCTGTTAGAAACCACTTTCACGTGTGAAACTGCTCTTACTTTCTTCTCATCTCCCATTTCCATTACACAACAACAGTGAATATGGTAATGGTCTTGATTCACACTGACAACTAATAGGACATTGGTCCTAGTTTACTGGCAATGCAAATAGCCCTATATAGTTTCTATATAAACACAGATTAGCATTTATCTCCACAATAAACAAGGGTCAGAAAATGATCCTACCTCTGGAAGTCTGTATTGTTCTATACCACCTTCAAGTTTTTCTTTGAGCGCGCTGTTTGTCTGTTTGATATTCTGAATCTGAAAAAAAAAGTTTCATCCCTTTAAACAAGGATATTAAAAAAAAAAATCTTTGGACAAGCCTTCTTCCAGCTGCCCCGGCAGGAACCCCACAAGCTCAGCATTCCAGTTTTTCTCACAACCTCCCTTTTCCAAAAAAGAAGGTTTGTTATACTGTAATAAAGGAATGCAGGAGCAGCTGGCACCTCAGGAGATCCCATTTAATTTATTCTATCCTGTCTGCAAGTTATTTGGTGCAAGAACTGCCCCAACTTCCAGGTCTGTATAAAGCCCAGCATAAGACGACAGACCCTGTTCACAGCAAGTAATGAATCAAAGACTGCTAGAGAGCTCTGCTTCTCCCAGAGTGCCAAGAAAAAGGCTTCAGGCCAAAATACCAATTCTATTAAGTTTAATAAAGAGCTTGAGCCAGATCTCTGCTTTAAAAAGTGAAAATGTTCAGATCTAGGAAACAGACTCATGTAGTATAAACCTGTCTTTACTAACAGATATTAGAAAAACATTTGTTTAAAAGGCAGATCCATCAGCAAATCAAAAAAGGTACGTAGGAAAGTTTGTATGATGCCTGTCTAAGAAAGAATAAAACAAACGTATCTGCCTGTTCCAAAAGCGCCATATGAAAAGGCAAAGAAAACTGAATGCTGCAGATGGAAATCAGATACTGCTGAAACCAGTGTCATCTGAAGGAAGTTCATAGTTAAAACATAAGGAACTCTGAACTGCAAAAAACACTAAGCGCCAACAAATGTTCCTTCAAGTCAGTGCTGTGGACTTTTCCTTGCTTCACTTTAGGTATAAAGTAGGCTTGCCCATAGAACTAAAACATAAGAGACATAAAACACAGGGCTGCATTGGTTTATAGCACAAGGCTAGCAGCTTGTCACTTAAGCCACATAATGATGTGCATCATCGCTGTCAAGCTACAAATTCCTGCGAACTTTGCAGACTGTGACAGGCACTACCACCAAAAATAGCAGTTATTCTTGACCAATCCCATCCATACCTGTCGTTTTATTGAGACTAATTCCATGTCCAATTGTCTGAGTACAGTGGTAGCAGCTGTTGCATTGGCAGAAACGGCCTCCACATCTTCTTGGGAAAGGAACATTCCTTTGGGAGGTTTCCTCTTCGCCCTGTTTTTGGCCTGCGTACTGTGCTTCTCCTTCTTCACCTGAGGAACGGTTTCAGCAGGTGGCACCTGGCAAACAGCAGTCATTTTACAAAATTAAATGATCTTTAAAGGTCCCTTCCAACTCAACCATTTTGTGATTCTATGACTTTTAGCCATTGTCAAAGGTTGGGGAATGAAAAAAGGTCGCTTGCAGACAGGAAGACATTTTTTGCTTTAAGTGGCATGTCATACAAACACTGTCTTAAACAAATCTCTCCTTTCTTCTAGGCAGCTTTCAATGTTTACAGAGATACTGGTTGTCTTCTCTGCCCGTTTTCATTTTGGGATACAGATGCCCAATTTTCCAGCAGTTAAATATTCTGGTTATTTTCAAACACTCCGAAACCTCTCTTCTCACTTTCATCACCAGGCCTGAACATGCCAGTTTAACTGAACACCAGAAGGAAACAAAGTGGAGTTTGGAGACAGGGGAAGAACGCAACTAGAAGAGTTTACAGAGACCTTTTCTTCTACGTGTCAGACAGGAGAAGCAATAAACCAAATTTATTTAAAGGCTAAGGATAAAGGAGTGAGGTGACTACAAAGTAATTCTTAGATCGTTACGCAGTTCCTTGGAAGCCAAGTTTTCTTGCATAGCACTGATATATCAACTGTTCCATTAAACTGATGCAGTTTTGCCCACAAATAAAATTTAAGTCTCTTTTGGAAAAGGGAATATTACACACACCACTAATTATTTTTATGCTTTCTGTCTAAAGCAAAGAATTAGGCGCACACCTCTGACAGGTAGATTAGCTAAGACACTATACTACAGATCCTTCAAGAGCACATTTGATCTCTAATACTAAAACCATTTATTCCAGAAGTTATTTTCAACAAGCAACTCATACCCAAGATTTATTACCCAGTGGCTGGAGCCTGGCCAAGAACACAGAAGTGAAGAAGAGTGGCGGGGAGGGAAAAAGCAGAGAGGGGAGGCCACACGTCTGAAATCCTCTAGTTGATCACTGCCAGCTTTAAGCACATTGGCTTCACTTAGCACTATTGTTTCCCTCCTAATTTGCAGCTACATGTAGTTTCTACACAGTTTGAGGCATTTGCTCATTAGTGAGCATGAAAATGCTCACATTCAAACCCACAGGAGGCTGAGCAAAGCCCCACGTAAGCATGAGGCTCTGCTTCCCAAAGACTGGAGGACCCCAGCACAGCTGCCAGCAGATAAAAGCTTGCACCCTCTTCATGGGCTCAACGGCCAGAGCCACACAGAAGCAGTAATGTGGACAATGGCCTGTTCTCAACTTTTTTCTTCCCTCCTTTAGTGCAAAGGACTCCTCCATGAGAGACAATGCCTAAGGCAAGCCCAGGAGCAAGAGATAACTATTGCTGTTGCAGGATGGATACCCTATTTCTTTTTGCAGAAGGGAGTGGGGAGCAGAAGAAAACAGATGGGTTTAGCTATGTACAAGTGAGGTAAGCTCTGCACTCCGCTTCAGAAACGAGCACTTTGATAACTGAGCTGGGTAAATTATTCAACATGGATACACATTTCAGATTTATTCCTATTTCATCTACATACAGAATTTCACGGGATCACGCGGTAATGCCTCACAACAGGTTCAGGCTGTAGGTTGACCAACACACAATGCCTGCAGTGCAAATACCCCAGAAGCCTCAACATTAAGGAAAAAAGAATTCAAATGATTGTTTTACACAGTTCAAAGAATGTCAAGCTCTTGTGTTGTGGACAAGAAGCCAGAGCTCCAGCAGAACAGTTTTTGACAGCTCCAAATGCCTCTAGGCCCTGGTGATATTGCACAGGCTCTGAAAATTTGAACATCTACCCTATCTTGGAAACTCTTGCTTTCCTGGCCACACACATCTCTGTACAATTAAATCAATTCAGGAAAACCAGAGAGAATTAAAATGCAGGGATTTAGCAGTGCTTCTCTGTTTATTTAGATACCGCCACTGCTATCCAACACACTTCAGTCTTAAAACCCCTTAATACAAACAAGGTTCCCTTCCTCAGATTTCATGGCGTAAAAAGAGAACACCAAGCTGTCTCAAGCCATGTAAAAGCAGAGGATGAAGTGGGAGGCATTTCCAGGAATAGGGAAGATGTGGAGAAAGCAGCTCTAGTCCATGACCTCAGCATTATGGAGTCACTATCTGAGGAAACCTGAACAGTTGCACTAACACTGAAAGTACTTAAAAAAAAAAAGGGAAGATTTCCCCCTCCAATGACCCTCAAAAGAGGAAACGGATGAGAGATTTCAGATACTCTGAGAAATCCCAGTACTACTCGGCAAGTCATACAGTAACCAACATGTCTCAGAGCTGGAAAAACCATCTCTGCGGGGTTGGGACAGGGAGGCTCTTTACGGTAAGAGTCCTGGGCTAGTGGTACATCACCACCCCTGCACGTCTGACCACGTCATTAAAAGAAACATAACGATCAAGAAAGAACATATCCCCCCTCCTGGATACCTGCTCTCTCAAGGCATTTTCAATCAGCCCCAGGCTCAGGTACTGCAAAGTCAAATCAAATTAACTCTGAACAGGCTATGCAGGTTGCCAGCTTCATTTTACCCACCAGTACATTCCCTGTCCAGAAAAGCCCTCTCAAGGCTACCCGCCATTGCATACACGGCCAGACTGCACATGCTCCATGAGTTCTGGTGATCTCTTTCAGATCAGTTAGTGCACTGTGGCCTTTATTAATGTGACAGGGAGGGCAGACAGCCTCCTCCCATACCAGACTTTCTACAAAAATGTCTTGATGGTAGCTATCAGCCATCTGCTCTGGTTTGGCCTTACAACAAAAGCAGCCAACTACCTTTCCCTCTTCTGCAGCAAGTTCAGAGCATGCCAGCATGGTAGGGAAGGAATCTCCCTATCTTCCCTATTCCTGGTAATAAAGGGGACTGAAGGGAGCTCTCTTACAGATACAAGCTTTCAAAGAGCTTATGGAGAAATCTAAACTTGAAAATTTATTAAAATAATGGGAAATGAGATGATAGTATTAATTATTTACAAGACACACTGGAGAGCTGCGGTATGCAGCTGCAACTTAGCCAAGTGAGAACCCTTCCAGTTTGCATGTTGCTGAGGTTTTTGAGAACTCAGCTTCTTGTAAGGGTGAACATGAGTGGCTTCACATCCACTCTGCTCCTAGGAAGTCATCAGGGATGCCGGTTCCTTCACTGGAAGCAACAGCTAGGCTTTTCTAGAAAGTCTAGAGAGCACCCTGGCATGGGTGAAGAACAGACTAGAATGCTGTGATTTTTCAGTTATTTCCATTCAAAATAATTTATTAGAGGAATTAATCTCACTGACAGTGACTGACAAAGCAGCTGCTCTAGGCCTTTGATTTTGCCTGTGCGCAATCATGTTTTTAAATAACTCTAGTGGTTTTTTCCTACATACACCCTTTTAAAAAAAATAATTTAAAAAATTGGAAGAGAATGACTGTGGGAGAGAAATCGGGCTACAAGAAATCAGGAAAGGGAGCTACGTCAAGGAGAGAAGGCCTTAGGGTAAACATCTTCCTGTAGTACTCACTCACACATACAACTCACACCGCTGCTGAACAGCAAGGCTATTTTCTTTAGTAACAGATAACCAGCAGGTTATACACATGAAAATAAAGTATACACTTTCCTGTTAAGCATCACAGACTAGGTTTCCAAAACTGTTCTATTTGCATGGCTCTATTTTAATCTAGAACTGTATGCTCACTTAAAATGAAGTATTAAGTGAGGTGCAAGTACTACGTTTTAAATAGACAAAATATTATGTGCATAACAATAGGTTATTGTTTTATATATATGGCTCCTCTGCCAGACAAAATGAACTGGCCACACAAAAGCTCTCTCCTCTACTGTTCACCACTGTAGTTGCAATCCTGGTGCCACCGAAATCCTCAGTTTGGATTGCTGAGGATTTCAGTACATCAGGAATTTACCTTAGAATCTAAGTTGTAGATAAACACACTCTTGCTAGCCTACCTAGAGCAGATTAAAGGACATATTTCCCCTCCACCAAGCCATCTCAGTGGGGACATAAGTGCTTCTACTCCATCTCCACAGTTAGGTTGATTTAAACCATCACTGAAGGTGGTTCAAGCTAATACAGCCAACTCTGAATCAAAGAGACTAGAAACATTCAGATAGTACATTATCATGGGATAGTAAAGTCTTAAGTTTTCCCAGCTCCATCCATAATAACTTATTTGTCTATACTTGTCTTGATCTAAGAATAATTCTGAAGACAATTCTTCTTTTCTTGTATGACAACTATATGAAGCACAAATAAAGAAGATTAAATACTGTCAGCTTCTACATGAAGTAGGTAGTAAGTAAACACTTTAATTTGTACAATAGTAAGAAAAGAATTATACCTCCTTTTTGCTCTCCTTGTTTTGTTCAACTTCAATATCAATAGGGTTATTTCCATTTGCTTCCTCCATTTCATCCTCACTGGAAGACAAAAGCAAACAGTACTGTATCAGTTTGAGGCTCTCTTTTTCTATAAATAGCATGCTAAAAGAAATGCATGGATGCAATAGCAAGTCCAACGGGTTTCCTTAGTTTTATTCCCAGGGTGTTTTTTTTAGGGGGTTGGGGTGGGTTTTTTTTGTTTTGGGTTTTTTGTTTATTTATTTTTGGTTTAAGTCAAGAAATTCTTAATTGTAGAAATACTAGGGACCATGTCTTGTAAAAAGACTTCTCAGTAGTGTACTTAAGCAAAATAAGTCTGCTCAGATGAAGGCAAGATGCATGAAATTGATTACACAAGTTATCTTTTAAAGAACATGGGACATTGAGCATTTTAACTTTAGCCAAACTGAGACAAAAACAAAGACTTAGAATTACAGCAAGTAGCTAAAACACAGACTTCATACAACTCCTTAACATTTAGCAAAATAGACATGCACAAGATGAACTCCCTCAAGAACAAGCATAAAAAACGTTTGAGGTTTTTTGGTTTGTGTTTGTTTGTTTTTTTTCAGTGACAGCCTCACATTTCATTCTCCCCTGGAAAAGAAAAAGAGGTTATCAGTTACAGAATAATAATAGGCATGAAATTGGGGCCATATTGAAAGTGACCTTGGCACACCTGGCCAGTTTGGCTTCATTGGAATTTTAATCAGACATTAAATTGAATATATTTTCACCATTTAGAATTTTTGTACTGTACACAACTAAAGTTAATTGCACCATTTGGGATGATGCCCAGAAACGGAAGAAATAAGCTGACCTAATCAAAGCTTTTTTTTCCTTTTTCTTTTT